TCCCTAATATTAATCAAGTTTCCCTTTTGGGAAAAAAAATTAAAAAAAAAAACACTTTAATACACTCAAACAATGTTATGCAATAAACACCATAATAATCACTATTCAATATTACCATAAAGCAGAGGTCTCTAACCTTGCAACTTTAAGACTTGCAGACTTGAGTTCCCAGAATTCCTCAGCCAGTCATTCTGGGAGTTGAAGTCCACAAGTCTTCAAGGGGTCAAGGTTGGAGACCCATCATACAATATTCTAAAAACTCAAACAGACCTGAAATATTAAAAATAATTAAAGTGTCTGTTTCAAGTACACACACATACTTTAAAAATATGCAAAAACACCTACTGTGCCTTATCAATAAACAAACTTGGCTGCCCTTCATACATATTTTATTAACAATGCAACAGACAGTAGGTCAAAAATCTATTAAATTGTTTTAACACAGCTGTATTTATTTAGCCTAGATGTCCCGCAATCTGATATACAACACTAATAAAACACATTACACATAAATACAAATACCTGTATCATTTATATTAAACAAGCATCACCGATTTTACCGCCGCTGGGATATCACCATCAGTTGTTTTGGTTTCTTATATTCATGTAGCTATTTTGCAACTCGTATTGTAATCTAAGATTCAAAACTAATTTCACTAGCACCGATTACTGCAGGCCTCCTTAAGCACCAAGGCGAGCAGCTTACGAGGAAGTTTAATTGATTTATACTACAATTCTCAGCATTTTCATCGTGAGATAACTTGAGTTGCAGATACAGAGGATTTGACTCCATCGCTTCTGGAGTCCAAGTGGATCCCTCCCCCCCCCCCCATTCCCCGCTCATTCAGACCGAAAAGGCGCCCCTGGCAAATAAGACCCGAGCGCGGTGGCCCCTGTGCACCTTTCGTCTCCGTCTCCCTTCAAAAGAGGCTGCTCCCAGTCCTCACTGGCGGGCTCCAGAACAACAGCAGCAGCCATGGCCAACTTCGAAACCTCCGAGTTTCAACCTCTGACAAACGTAGAGCCAACCACCCTATATGCTCCGTCTGGCGAAGGCGCGGGAGCACCTGAAGCCTCGCCTCTGCTTTCTTCCGGGACAAGGAGAGAGGCGACTGTCACGTGGCCAAACAGCAAACACAATAAAGCAAGTCAAGGCAACTGCATGTGACAGCAGCACTTGGACTACAAGGGGAGAAAGGGGAGGGATCAAATCTAATCACGTGCCGGGCGAGCCATTGGTAAAGTCGGCCCCCACCCTCCCGCCCCTCGCTTTTTAAAACCGTCGTTGAGGCTCTCGCGAGAGGAGGGAGGGGAGGAACGGGAAGCGGCGACCTTCGGCATGTTTCTCCACCCCCTTTTTCATTCAGTCGGACTGGGACGCTTTGGCTTTGTGAATGGTGGAGGTAGGTGGCGAGAGAGGGGAAGAGCCAAGGGCGTTACCGAGAGGTGCTCCTCGGCAATTCTCCCGGCGTTCCCGTAGGTTCGCTCTTTCTTCCGAAGGGGACAGGCATGCCTGTCTGACGCCTCCTGAGGTTGTGGGGTCTCTTAAAGTTGTGATTGTGAGAAACGGTTGCGGTGACCTCTGATGTAAAAAAAAAAAGTAAACAGCGAATAAAACGGCAAGGCGGATTTTACATTGGAGAAGTGAGGCTTATTTCCAGCTTGATATTCTCTTTCCCAAGCCTTCCTGAGGAAAAAGAATAGACTGTAAACAGGCCAAAGTGTAGTTTTTTAGGCGGCGGTTGAATGTGATGTTAAATTTCTACTGTGCCCATTTCCGTGAATTAGAGTGCAGTCTTTTGTACTCTTGACTTGTAGCCTCTATCACGTGCCATGAAATTGTGGAGAGGAGTCGGAGTGGATTGCGCGCTGGGGATGTGATGATTCATGGATTTTGAACCCTTTGCGGTATTGGCGCCTGCCAAAGTGGGTTGGTGATTTGGTTGATGATGTACGGACAAGGGCAGGTTGACACTTCTTTTTATGTATACTGTTTTATTTTTCCCCGTTGGAACTACATTTGAATAAAGTAATGATACGGTAGTACTACCATAAATGAATTTGCTCAGGTAACTGTTATGCTACTCAAAGAAGCTACCTAAATTTGTTTGAAATCGTTTTTAAAAATTAACTTAATAGTTCCAATAGCACATATAAATCTAAAAAAATTGCAAGATTTACTCTGAGAATGTCTAATTGATATTAGTAGATAGCATAGTGTCTCATTTACTGAGTTCACTGAACAGCATTGGATTTTGTCTCATTATTTGAATCAACAGATACAATGAAGATACTTAACAGGATTGAACTACCAAAATTGACAGGTAGGAGCAAAAAATATGATTATATAAAATGCATTTTACAACTATCGGCTATCTGAGAACCTTGCACTACAAATGTTTGGATATGTATATTTTTCTGTAGAAAAAGTGATATTTATTTCATCCTGTTTTAAATATAATTGTTTATCACATTGTTTTCAAGGTTGTTACAATGTATTCCTCACTTGCCTTTTAAAAAAAATGAATTACTACTTCAGTATAGGATTATTGAAGCTATATTATTTATGTAGTGATTATCAAACTGCTTATGGCAGTATAGATCATTCTTATCTATATTGTTTTTTCAGTGTAATGGTCTGTATTGTTCACTATTCCTTGTAATAGTGTCTTATACATGAAGAGCATCAACCAAGAAAGTTACAAATGCTTTCCTTACAAGCACTGCAAGTAATAGGACAAGCACGAGACAAGAAACTCAGTAACATTTAATTATGTTTAAAATTGCTTTTATATATTCAGAATAACAGTTGGAAGGGACCTTAGAGGTCTTCTAGTCCAATCCTCTGCTCAAGCAAGAGACCATATACCATTTCAGACAAATGGCTGTTCAGTGTCTTCTTAAAAGCCTCCAGTGATGATGCACCCACAACTTTTGAAGGCAAGCTGTTCTACTGGTTAATTGTTCTCAGAGTCAGGAAATTCCTCTTTAATTCTAGGTTGCTTCTCTCCTTGATTAGTTTCCATTCATTGCTTCTTGTCCTGCCTTCAGGTGCTTTGGACTCCCTTTTCTTTATGGCAACCTCTCAAATATTGGAACACTGCTATCATGTCACCCCTAGTCCTTCTTTTCACTAGACTAGACATACTGAAGTCCCTGCAATCTTTCTTCGTGTATTTTAGTCTCCAGTCCCCTAATCAGTGGTGGATTCCGGATCCCGTTGCAACTGGTACGGTGCAACAGGGCCCAGCGTCCACCACATGAACGCGCGCAGCACACATGTGCAGTGGGCATATGCGTCCTTACCTCCTGCGATGCTCTGTGATGCCTCCGCAACGCTCCAGCTGCTCAGCAGAGTGTCACGCAGGTGCTGTATGCTCCATGCGCGGAAGCACCGAAGAGCTCAAATACCGGTAAGGAGCATGGGTGGGTGGGCCCTTTGGAGCACTGTACCGGAACGGTACCCAGTGCTCCAGGCAGGTACCGGGTAATCCACCACTGTCCCTAATCATCTTTGTTGCTCTTCACTTCGCTCTTTGTAGTCTCAACTTTTTTTTATATTATAGTGACCAAATTGGATTTAGTATTCTGAGTGTGGCCTTACCAAGACCTTACAAAGCAGTACTAACACTTTACATAATCTTGATTCTATCCCTCTGTTAATGCAACCTAGGATTGCATTGGCTGTTTTGGCAGCTACAGCACATTGCTGACTGATATTTTGGTGACTATGTACTAGGACTCCCAAGATTCCTCCCACAGTTACTGCTATTGAGCCAGGCTTTACCTAATTTGCATTTGTCTTTTTTTTCTAAATGTAAAATCTTACTTTTCCCTCCATTTCATTTTTTCTTACTTTCATTTTGTTAGATAGGGCCATTGTTCAAGTCTGTCGAGATCCGTCTGGCTGTTGAGCATATCTTCTGGAGGGTTGGCTATTTCTGCCAGCTTGGTACCATTGGCAAATTTGAAAAAAAAATTCCCCTCATCTAAATTGTTTGTGAAGATATTGAAGAGTACTGGGCCTAAAACAGAACCTTGGGATATCCATTGCTTCCTTCCTTCCATGTAGCTGTAGTTTCATTAAGGGCTACATGTTGAATGCAATTTGTCAGCCTTTAATATTAATGCATTTGGTGGTGATGCTGTCTATGCCACAGTTTTCTAGCTTACCAAGAAGTAGGTTGTGGTCTCATTTGTCAAATGCCTTACTGAAATCTAAGTATTGTACTTTTCGGAATATAAGACACACTGGAGTATAAGACACACCAATGTTTTGAAGAGACAATTTTTTTAAAGGTTTTTGCACTCTGCAAACCTCCCCAAAATGGCCCGTCTTTTGCCCCCAAAAAGGCATGAATAGCCTTTAGGGGACTTATAGAGTGCTTCTGGGGGTGCCCCCCCAAATGAGCAAAAAATGGCTTGTTTTTCATGAAAATGGGCCCATTTTTGTCAAAAAATTTGCATCCATAGCTTTTAGGAGTCTTATAGAGTACTCCTGGAGGCTGGGGGGTGGATAATTGAGCCAAAAATTGCCCCTTTTTTCACGCATTTCTACCTTTCCCAGCCACCAGGAACTCTCTGAAAGCCTTCTACAGGCTCTGCACAGCCATTTTGGTGAAGGGGTCGGGTTTCAGGAGGCAAAAAATTCTGTACTCAGTGTATAAGACGCACTCAGATTTTCAGCCTCTTTTTTGAGGGAAAAAGGTTCGTCTTATACTCTGAAAAATACGGTATACTATATCCACAACATTTGTTGCACAATACAGTGTATGTTTAGTAGTGTCTTTGTCTTAGTGTTGTGGTCACATGAGAAAGTATGCACTGGAATTTGGGCAGAGCTATTAATTCATATTGGATGTTTGCTTACCCTAATATATAGATATTCTCATCCTAACCCTCCCTCGCCTCACTGCATATTCGACACATTGTCCCAATGCTATGCCTTTCTCATCTCCTCTGCGCTGTCCCTCACTCTCGCTCTCACCCACTCTTGCTGACCCTTACCATACCTCCCTCACACACTCCCTTCCTGAGCATCTTTCCCGAGCCTAGCCAAGGTACCCTCATACAATCTCACCAACCCTTGCTGCACTTCCCTTGCACTCACTGCCATCCAGCAGCAACTACTGGTACTTTCCTGGGACTTGCAACTTCCTGTTGATTTACCCACTTATCAGTTTGGTGGAAGCCAGCAAGAAGTTGCCTTGTCTAATGACTGACTGGGATTTGGTTAACAGTGGCAATCAAGACTGCCAAGATTACAATTGCTAAGTGATATGGTCACACTTTATGATCACACCACTTGCAGTGGAAATTCTATCTCAATTGCCATTGTAAATCGAGGATTACTCGTATTACTGAATCTTAATTTGTTGTTATATATGTGATAAAACAAATAATTAAGTTGCAAGTTTAATTTTTACGTCAGATTTCCAAAGTTTTCCGTTGGAAACAGGGAAGGTTGTTTAAATTCAGTGAAGAGTAAACCATTTCTGTTTATAAGAAATGGTTGCAAGAAAGCAAATTGCACTAGTGAAATATTAACTAAGCAATGACATAATACCAAAAGATAAAGTAGCTTGTTATTGTTTGCTTTGTCTGATAAATGTAGATGAACATTATATTAGTATTTCTTTTTAGTCAAAAGTTCCTCCCACTCATTAAAATGGTGTACTTTAGTTGTACCGATAGTCTTTGACAACCATTTGTTTAGTGACTGTTCAAAGTTACAACAGCATTGAAGAACGTGTCTCATGACTGTTTTTTTACACTTACAACTGCTGCAGCATCCCCATGCTTACACAATCAAAATTCAGATGGTTGGCAACTGTTCCACATAGGGTCCCATGATCATGTGATCATCTTTTGCAGTCTTCTGACAAGCAAAGACAATGGGGAAGCCAGATCAACTTAACCATTGTGTTACTAAAGCAACAACTGCAATGATTTTGCTTAACAACGGTGTCAGGAAAGGTCATAAAATGGGATGAAATTTACCCGTCTTGACTATCAACAGAAATGTTGGGTTCGATTGTTGTCGTAAGTCGAGGACTAACTGTATAACAAAGAAATGAAACTATTATTAACTATATCTGTAGTTTAAGAACTGTAAAGTTCTTAAAGTTTAATAACTTATACTTTAGATACTATTCCAAAATTAAATAAAAATTTTTTTCTTCATTTACTATTTAGAAGTTGAATGTTTCAGTATAATGGAATGTGTGGCTAAGAGAAAGAGGAAGCAATTGACGAAGGAAGAGCCTTCAAAGACTTAAAGGTCAGAGAAATAAACTTAGGAAGGACTGGTCCTAATTGATCAGACAATTAAAAGTGGTGGCAGAAAGTTAGTACAGGTAGTTCTCAACTTATGACTATTCCTTTAACAACCATAAGAATTACAGTAGTGTGGGCAAAAATGACTTGTTTCTTCTGTTTTTTATGTGTGTATATGAATACGTATACACACACACACACACACACACACACACACACACACACACATATATATATATATATAGAAAGAGAGAGAGAGAGAGAGAGAGAGAACA